TTAACATTTTCTTTAATGTTTAAAATTTTTTAGCCGCTATCAGAATTTTTTTCCTCCACTCTCAAATAACCATTTCAACCCTTTTTTTCCTATTATGTGAGGATTAGTGAGAAAGGAATTGTCCCAATATCCAGAAGCCCCTATTTTCCTAAGAAGTATGATATACCACTTGTAGATTAGATTTGATCAATCAGGTGTGTATTCAGTTGACATTTAAAGTTATGACTAATTCCAGATAAAATGTTAATCAAATCTGTGTTTCTGCTTTCCATCTTCCCCTCTGCCTCTAGCTTTTTATAGCCAACACCAATCCTGTCTCCTATGAAATCTTATCCTGTGTGTAGGCAGAAGCCTCAAAATATCAGTATCACTCGGCAGTTAAAAGTACAGAGATTTGCACGGGAACTTTGTCACTTCTTTGTTGTATGACCTTGGGCAAATTATTCAGTCCTTATGATGATAAGAAAACCTCCATGACAGCATCATTTTATAGAATAAGCAACAAACATAATGTAGGGAACTTGCCAGCCTAGGACCTGGCATATTGTAAGTGCTCAATAATTATAGATAGCCCATTAAAGGAGAGAATCTTTAACCCTCAGTGATGTGAAAGAAAATATGTATGCAAATGGAAAATGTGTTCAGTGCAGAAAGAGTTCTATTGGAAGTGAAAGTGTGTGCTGTATGTTCTGTATGTTGTGTGTGAGCATACACATGAAGGCGAGGGTGTTCTTTGTCTAACAAGAAATATACATATGGCAGGTATGTCAACTGAATCCCAACCTTTGAGTAATAGGAAATCCCCCAAAAGCAGAGGGCATTTGGAGCTGGCTTATAAAGAAAACAAAGCTTGAGAATCCAAATTTCAAGAGCTGAGCACTGACCTTGAAACACTAAAGTACTCCTGGCTCTCCATTCCAAACAGAAGACTTCATGTCCACCCTGCTACTGGCTCCTGGGCTTACTGAGAGCTCCTTGGGGCAAAGGAGTGGTGTGCCCCAGTGACCACATTCCCCAATCACAGTCCTGGGACTGCAAAACCTCTAGCTCGGTTAGTCTGTAATTCAGCACTTTCTGCCCCAAGGACCTGGGTTGCTGTGTATAAAGGAAAAAAAAAAAAAAAAAATCCAAAAAACAAAAACAAAAAAAGCAGAGTTAGATTGAAATAAAGGGATACATTTTTTTTTAAAGTGAGACAACTACATTTCTAGATGCATGAAGACATGGACACTTTGACTTGAAGGTAAATCTAGAGATGGCTTTGGTACATATTTTTCCTATAAACTGAAAAAGTTTTCATTTAAATATTAGAAGTGTGTGAGGCTATTAAGGGACACTGCTTTCATGTGACTTGGGAAGCACAACAGTGAAATTTCTAGAATGACAATGTTCTGAATCTTGATGGGGTTTACTTCTTGGATTTGTTGAGGCACTTATTTTTATCACCAAGTACATCTAAAATAGGTGCATATTTGTGTGTAAATTTTACCCTAAAAATTGGAAATTTTAATAGGCATGTTGGAATATTTAAGTGTACTATTTGAAATGGATTAAGAGTGAATGTGAGGGATAAAATCTAGGTGGTGAATACAGGTGTTTACAAAACACATTGCTGTTTGCAGGTTTTCATAAAATGTTGAAAAAGTTATTCAATTCAGTTGCAAAGTATGCTATATGTCTGAATGCAAAGTGATCCCTAGGAATCCTTCCAGAGTGTCCTCTGCCTTCTGCTTGGCCACTGACCTTGTCCCCTAGTACAAATATTGGTCCACAAAAGTTCCTTCTTTCACTGAACTTTCCTAAGTTCAGTGGGCAAGGTGAATGGAACAGTGTATCTGGCTAGTGGGCAGAACTTTGTAATGAAAACCGAACCCTGCACGGTGTCACAGTACATCACATGTGCTTCTCTATACCCACAGAAACATGCAAAAACATGTAACTTAAAAGTTTCTGAACTGGAGCTATGCATGGTGATTCATGCTTTGGGAGGTGGGGGCAGGAAGATCAAGAGTTGAAAGCTAACCTGGGCTACATGTGACCCTGCCCCCAAAACAAAAAATTGTAGTACTCCATATAAATTGCTTAATAGTCAATGTAAAGTTTTCTGAGTTCTTTCTGAATGGGTTGAAGAAATAATCATGTCTTGAAGGTCATGAAAGGCTTAGTATTTGCTAAACTTTATAGAGATGGAGATGCTTTGTACACGTTGGCTCAGAGTTCTCACAATGTGCAGCCCCATTATCAGTTATTGGGCTCAAGGTCATAGAATTAGTAAAGGGGAGACATAGGACTCAAATCAAGAGCTCTTCAGCTCAAAACCAAGTTTTTACTTTACATTCTGACAAAACAAAGTTCTATTCTGCAAAGCTCATGTAACTACAAGAACAGTACCAGTCATCAGGGGGAGGGCTAAAATTTGTAACGGAAACTTCATGCTCTTCATTTTCACCAAAAGGCACTATTAAGTCACAGTTTACAGCAGTGATAGTGACAGGCAGAATAGAAAACTTGGCCGTCTTCCCATGTTTTCTACACCTTTGGGGGGAAGTTCTGTATTTAATCTGCTTAAATGAGGTTTTTCCATATCATTGAATATTGCTTATTCGCAATAACTGCCACTTAATGTCTTCCATTTCATACTTAAATCAAACTTATCCAATGGACTAATGGACTCTTCACGTTAAGCAAAACCAGATCCATCCACAGAAATTACATAACTACCAGTAGATGGCACTAGTGCTGACCACCATTTTTATCAGGTGGCCCAGCAACTTAAGTCTTCTATTCACTTCTAGATAAATACTTGAGTCAAGACTAGCCCCAATTGTGCCTTGCATATTACACGTAGAAATTTAAACCACTTTTCTTAAAATGGGACTGAGATCCGAATGTGGAAATGATGTGCCCTTTGTATTACCAGCAAGATTATGCCTCCAACCCTACTTTTTACATAATATGGAGCCACACCAGAGTATGAAAAGAATCTACATTCACCTAAGCTATGCCACAAAACGCACTTTGAATTTTGACTCAGTGGTTAGGGTGAAAAGCTGATTTTAACCGGACATATGCAACTGCTTTGTAGAGGCCTAGGTTGGGCGGGATCACTAGGAACTCCAGGCCAGCCTAGGTTACATAGCGAGTTTCAGCCTGGGTTACAGTGAGACTGTCTACAGAGATCTTAGCATTGGTATAATCTGAATTGTATTTGAACCTGATTCAAGATTTGCCATATTCATATGTAGAGGGCCTACTCTAAATATTCAAAACTTTCAACCAAGACTGTTATGCTTTGGGAAAACATGCTTCTGTGAATAGCTTCCCATTAATGTTCTAACTTCACAGAAGGAAAAGAAAAACTAATACAATTTCAAAGCAAAATTATCTCATTCTTAAAAGGAGTAAGGGCAGAAGACAAAGCTTTATCTCCAGGGTATTGGCAGCATGTCTCTACACCTAAATTCTCTTCTTGATAAAACGGAGAGATCTGCACTTCTAACATGCAGATGGTTTATAGTTTTATCTAACTTGTATTCAAGGGTATTACATAGTATGTGAAGAAAGGCCCATTTTATCTTGGACCAGGCATATTTGCCAAGTGAAAAACAAGATATACCTTAATTTCTAGTTGGAAAGAAATTGTAGCCTTGGTATGCTCTCAAACTTTGGGAAAACACCATAAAATTGTGGGTTGTACACCATGACTTTGAAATACCTACTGGTTGATGTTTTGAAACATTGTATTATCTCACAGAGGTAAAAAGTTCTTGGTAATCATCTATGATCTAATGCTAGTATGTAAAAAATGCTTAATAACTTGTTTGATGGATGTTTCTTTAATCTGTGATCTGTGCTTTGAGAAGTATCAAGAGACTTTGCTCATTCGGAAACCTGAAGCAATCTGGTCAGTATTTGAATCTAACCTCTGGTACACTGCAATAAGGCAAACTTTGAGGCATCTAGAGAACTAAAAATATACCTAGAAAGTGAAGGTTTTCTAGCTCCTTCCTTGGAGTGTAACACATAAATGCTGGGGGTGTTTTTGTAAAATGTGGGGCTATTTAATCACTCCAAAATGTAATCAGTGTCTGGAATGTGAGCACGCAGAAACTCACCGTGGCCAAACTTCTCTGCCCCAATCTCATACTACCACAGGGAAGAATGACTGGAACCACGCCAGCCTTGACTATAAGTGCTAAGAGATGGCGAAACAAAACAGGCCTTCAAAACCAGTCCAGGGCAAGGAATCACTAAGACTGGAGCTTAGCACACTTGTTTGGAGATGTTCTGTGATATTTTTTCCAGAGGTTTACACTGTCATCTCTAGAACACTGCAAATACATTTTGGAACCCTGAGTCACACACAGCCTAAAAATGGCTTCAAGCAAACAGGCACTAAGGAAATAATACCAAAGAAGGAAGTCATTTTGGTAACTAAAGTGACATGTCGGATCCATCTGTAAATGTAAATTAGCAACTGATGTTGTTTCTTCAGACTAACTGACCTAAAACAATATATAATTTCAGCTAAAAATGTTAAAGGCTAGTTAACCTTCATATACTCAAAAATGTGTCTAATTTTCTCATAACCTAGCATGTTTTCAGCACTGACCCCCTTGGCATTCCTCAGCCATGCACACTAAACATTCAGAATCATACGTATTCAGAATATCCTCAAATTAATCAGTCTTCAAATATTTAAATGAAGTTACTCTATGGAGAAGAAAAGCAAAACTTGGAGTTGGCACACCATAGGAAAACTCAGGTGTTTAAATGCTTCTGGAAAGGCACACTGCAGCCTTTGGACATTTGACCCACAGGCTGCACCTTTCACTTTGTATTCTGTGGCAACTTGCCCTAAATCTGCCCAGACTAGAGGGACAAGCTAGTCTGATCAGATGTTCATGTTCGGTCCACAACAAGACTGTCCCTAGAAACAATAGTGGGGGCTCAGCCCTACAAGTGTGTTTCTATGTCTACATGGTTTTTGTTTCACTGGGTCTTGCCGAAATCTGTATCAAAGTTGATAGCTGAAAACACCAGAAAGGAGGGAGGTAGACACATTCTTCCACAACTTCTTGATGAGTGCTGTCCAAGCAGACTGGTAAGCGACTGGTAAGCAATTATTCATTACAGCTTGGAATTCACTTTGCTTTGGTTTTGGAAGTGTCCCTTAAGAAAAAAGAAACTTGTTAATAAAATCAGAACAAGGTTAAATTGCTATTACCAATAAAAACTGTTACTTATTTCTATAGCTACAGAACTTAAGGCTTAAAGATTTCAAACACAAACTACCCAGCATCACATATAAGAAAATGAAGTCAGAACTGAGAGCCCAGAAATGAACATCTGGCCATACTTGAATCAGCCCAAACTCCAAATCTTATCTTTAAAATTGTCTTTAACACCATCTCCTCCCACTAAGGATAGTACTGGATATTCCTACCACTACTTGATTTTTAAAATTAGATACTTAATTTGTAAATTTTTAATCAAAGCACCTACAATCATAAAACAAAACCTATCTTAATACTTACCTATCTTTTGAAGTATTTCAAAATGTAAAGAAAATCCTAAAAAAAAAAATGATCACAATGCCGTTTTAGCTATAATGTATTAATAAATGAACATTTTTCCATAATTATCGAAACCCCGTAAGTAAACTCGAGATTGCTCAAAATTTGTAGTTACCACCACACAATGCCTAATACAGTATATACTGAAATTTGTTCAACTGACTTAGAATAAAAAATATCTGGCACAAATTATATTCATACGCTACACAATTTGAAAAAAAAATTACTTATTTTAATTTGAAATGGGGAAAAAATGACAAGAACTAAGGAGTAGTCAGATCGAAATTAACATTATAATTTCAGTAAAATGCACTGGGCTCTCTCTATGGTTAAGTCACTGAAAGAGCAAAAATTAGGTTGATTGTCATTAAAGCAAGTTTTATTCAAGAGGTAATTTAAGGAGAGGTGAATTATAACAAAGGAAAAATGTACCAGCTGTCCATCCTATAGTAGGAGCACCGTTTATTACACATAAATCTCACTCTTAAGATTCCTAATAAGGGTATAATCACTTCTTGATAAACATTTCACTTTTGCTGGGCTATGTGAACCGTGTTCAGAATCTTTGACCACACCCCCCAAAAGAATGAAGTACCTACCGTAGCACTTTCACTTTTTCATTTCAAGATGATTACCAGACCTGGAGATCTGTAACTTAAGAGAGCACACTGCTCTAGGAATTCAACTTGCAACAACAGTCATCAACCACAAATACTTTTTCAAATAAATCAGCTGGGCATGTGGAGCATGCCTCTAACCATAGCACTTTAGAGGCAGACAGGAGGATCTCTGCGATCCAAAGCCAGCCAGGCATGTATAGTGAGATTCTGTCTCACTAATAATTAAATCAATGTCCACTAAGACTTTAGAACTCCCAAGTTATATTTTAATGTTTAACATGATAGTTTCAAAAATAAATATTCAAGGACTCAAAATGTAAGATTTTTCTCCAATGTAATTCTCAGTGTTAATAACAAACTGTTAAGAGCATTATTCTTAAACAACTTTCTTCTTGTTACATTATACATTCTAGTCCATAATTCCGATGAAGAATCCAGTTTTCTGGTAATAAAACAAGAATTTATGGTCATTCAGTCCCTGGAAAATCTTAATGCCAGTCACTCAATGAGGTCAAGTCATTCCAGATCACAAACACTCAAAAATGTAAAATGTTGTCAGCATGGACCAAGTTTCTGGTCTAGGGTGGTTATTGCTTTAGTTGGCAATATCTGAATTTAAGACAAAGGAACATTTTCCACTGAACTTTATGTCAAATATTACAAAGTTTATACAGAGGATAGACTCATAGAGGCTATAAAGCTGATAAGCAACTCACCCTTGAAATGGGTGCAGGTGTTTTAGGTGATACCCAGTAACTTCTTGCTTTAAAAATAAACGCCCCTGCTTTTCAGAGTGTTCCTATTGTTCAATAGGATATAAATGAGCAGCCTAATTGTTCTGTTGTAAAAACCAACCACTCTTAACAAACCAAAAATGTACAAGGAAACCAGTAAGAGACAAACTTTTCACAGTTAACAATAAATAAAAGTGCATTAAGTGTTCAAGTAGGGCATGTAGTTCCTAAACTACATGTGACTGTTTGGCTTGGGTCATCTTTTAAAAGCTCTCCGTGGATCCCTGCCATTGCTTATTGTTGTCGTGACTGTTTGATCATTAGCTGTTCCTGGCAGCTGTGGATGGATGGGTCCCCGGCCATTGCTTCTTCCAGCATATGAAAGATGGTATCCTCTTGATTCAGTTTGAACACCATTTCCTAAGAAAGAATACAAAAAAATTTACCATTTTCAGAAGTCATCTATAGGGGCTGGAGAGATGGCTCAGCAGTTAAGAACACTAACTGTTCTTGCAGAAGACCCAGGTTTGAGTCCCAGCACCCACATGGCAGCTAACAACTGTCTGTAACTCCAGTTCCAGGGGATCCGACAGCCTCTTCTGTCCTCCATGGGCACTGCACGACACGGGTGCACTTTCATACATGCAGGCATAACACACATACACATAAAATAAAAATAAAATATTTAAAAAAACAGAAGTCATCTATATACTGAGTACAGAAATTCATTCATTTCGAGTTCCAACACATACTATTAATGCTTACATTCACATACACATAAAATAAAAATAAAATATTTAAAAAAACAGAAGTCATCTAGAATAAACAAACTCTCCCCCAAATACAAGAATATACTAAACTGGATGTGGCAGTACACACTTGTAATCCTAGTCCTGAGGAGGCTGAGTCAGGAGTATGGTAAATTTGAGGCAAACATCGAGTACAGAGTTAAGTTTAATGTCAGGTTGAGCAGTATGGTGAGACCCTGTTCTCCCCTTCCTCCTCCCAAAAGTCAAGATGTGGAAAAATATTTAATACTATATTGCTAGTTGTATAGAGTGATTTTTGAAAACGTCATCAAAATTAACAGTTGGGTGCCAGGCATCATGGCACATGCCTTTAATCCTAGCACTGGGGAGACAGAAACAGGCAGATCCTTTGAGTTCAAGGCCAACCTGGTATACATAGAGTTCCAGTCCGGCTAGGGCTATATAGTGAGATCCTGTCTCAAAACAAAAACATAAACAGTTGGGAAGAGATACAGGGTCTCCCTCTAGCCCCAGCTGTCCTGGAACTCACTATGTAGACCAGGCTGGCCTTGAACTCACAGAGATCTGCCCGCCTCTGCCTCCCCCATTGCTGGGATTAAAGTCGTGTGCCACTACACCTGCAAACAGCTATGGAAAAGTTCAGGTGCTAATTCACTACTACTCAGTAGAGCTACTTGTCTGAAGATGGACTTCAAGTGTACCAAAGCAACTAGCATTTTGCGTTATAATCCTGACAGATTTCAAAAAGAAAAACAGACCTCTATAGAGATATCACCAAAACTTAAGTCTTAACTAGTAATCAATGTTCACGGTTATTTGGGTATTTCCTGTTTATTGGGAGTTCATCTTTAACATGAAATTATGCCTAAATAGTTTTCCTCTACATTTTTCATATTTTCCTTAACTTCTACATCTCATCACAAATACGATAAAAAACAACTTACCCATGGGTCCAAATGTGACTGTACTCATATTATTCTTCTGTTCATTTTGTGCCTAAAAAATTTTAAGTCAGCCAATGAAGATTATAAATAACACTTATAAAATATATCCTTTTTATATTTTAAGGGTTTTTAAAAATTATTTAACAATTTAATAATTATTTAAACACCTGTCCAAGTCCATCCAATCTTAAAGCACACGAATCTTTTCCAAGCTTTTAATATTTTTGTTATATCCCTTATTTCCTGGTATTTCGTTATCACTCTGAAGAGCACTAAACATAACTCTATGTCACATACTATGGAGACGCAAAAACTCATAATAAAAACTACTTTAAAGACTTTTTTGAGACAGCATCTCAAGTATTCCAGACTGTCCTCAAACTTGCTATAATACCATCATGCGTGATTTATGCAGTACCTGGGGTCAAGCCCAGGGCTTGATGCTAGGCAAATAGTCTAACTGAGCTACAACCCCAACCCTAAGACTGTTTTATAATTCTTTTCATTACACTTTGGCCACACAAATTTGGCCTAGTGATAGAATTACAGTATAAAGTCAAGTTAACCCATACACAAAAATATACCATGCTGGCTGAGGTAGTACAAGCCTTTAATCACATTACCCAGGAGGAAGAAGCAAGCAGATCTCTCTGAGATCAAAGCCAACCTGATCTGCATGCTGACTTCCAGCCAACTGGGGCTACAGGAAAAAAATCTTCAAAAAAAAAAAAAAAAAACCCACAATACAACACCCCCATATATTTGGATTAATTACCCTGTTCTGCTGTGCTCTATAATCTGGGTTTGGCTCACTAAAATTTGGTACTTCTGAATAAACCATACAGAATCTGAAAGAAAATGAAGGACAAGTTAAACGTTCTGAAATCAAACTGTTTTGTATAATACCCTTAGCATACAGGAATGAAATCAAACTGTTTTGTATAATACCCTTAGCATACAGGAATGACAACAGTAATATGCTAAGTAATACAATTCATTCGCAACAAACATTTCCTAAATAACTGCAGCCCATAAAACGAATTATTTATCAAAAAACATAATTCTATTTGTGTTTAAATTCTTCTGTATTGCAAAATTTAATTATGTCAATTATCAAGGACACAGAATCACATATTTGCTGGTTTTCCCCATAGGCAGATGCCAAGGAACCAGGTTTGGGGTCCAGTGTGACTTTCCCACTAATGTACTGGTCTATTCACTCTCTGATCCAATCCCTCTTTTGATCATCACTGTGACTCTACAAAGATAATCATCTAAGTTTAAGACTGAATTCTACACGATAAAGACAGACAAGTGGTTGGCAAGTCTCCTGTTTATCCCAGGGCTTCTGGTAAACTGACACTATGACCTGTACCAAGTTCACACATAAGCACTTTCTTAGCTCTTCAACTCTTAAAAAAAAAAACTAGATCCAGTTTGGGGGAATCTTAAAATTGACCCTGACAAAGAACAGTCAAAGAATTGAGTGGTTTCCTGTGGTTCCACCTTTTAATGAAGGGCTGACAGATCCTACAGTCCTGACCCTTTCCTAACACATAGCTCTAACAGCATTATGCCACATATAAGCATAAATGAATCTCAATTATTTGGCATTCTAGTCAAGGAAAAAACATTACATCACTAGATTCTAGTGTCATTAAGCATTTAGATCTTTAAAAAGATGTCACTTTTCCCCCTTTCATTATTAACAATGTTGTCCAAAGCATGCTTCAACCTCAGGGTGAATTTTTTTTTAGTACCATTTATGACTTCTTTTTCTTAAATATCCTCCAATTTCATGGGCAGTAAGTAGAGCTCTAAGTATTAACTGAAGAGACTGGATTAATGCTTTAGCTCATCATCTATACCATACATTATGGGAAGCCTCGTGGAGGCTGGATCACCTGTACAGCCCTACAGCGACAGCTACTACGGGTCTGGATGAACTCCTTACCAAGGACGCTCTTACTGTGGCTGCCTGCACTGTACCTAGATGAGGACAACTGTTTCCACTGCTAAGAGTACTTTTAACTCTAGTATAAATTCACCTATACAGAGGTAATGAGAACTTAAACTTATGGAGTGAAACTTACTCTAACTTCTATTTTGGTAAATCACAAGGAGAGAATTTACTTCAAAGGGCATCTGAAAGATGCATGTTTCTAAAGCCTACAGAGTGGGTCCACCAGGGCTGGTCTCAACTGTTCTCTGTTGTGAAAAATTCAACCTTTTCAACCACAGAAAACGGTACTGATAGTAATTAAGATAGCTTCCTACATGTAATACAAAGCCAAATCAAAAAACGACTTTTGGTCTTTTTCTCCCTGAAGCCCCAGTTGGCCTGGAACTATGTAGACCAGACTAGCCTTGGTCACAGAGATCTGCCTGCCTCTGCCTCCAGAGTGCTAGGACTAAATGTCCTAGCGCCATCATGCCCCGCCCCCAAAATGCTTATAGTTTATACTTACTCTGCAGACATTATAATTTTCTTAATTCTACAAAATGCATCTTAATACTTACTCTCCGATCTTCTGAAGTTCACCACCCCTTCCAGTATAGAGAGTCAGACATCCTTTCCACATGGATGCATATCTAGAGGGACAAGAAATCAGATCTTCAGGAATATGTATATTTTATTCTAAAGTAAATCTTCATTCTACTTTTGGTGGTGGGGTAAAGTAGAAATCAAGGTCTACTTACCATGAGAAGTAAAAAAATTCCATTAAGTGTAACTTTGACTAAGGAATTATATATAAAAAATTCTACTTCCACAATGACATAATTATCTAAATTATTAACCCTTTCAGGGAAAAAAAAAAATCCTTTTAAGTAGTTCTAGGGAGGGGCCAAACCCCAGGCCTTGCACACATTAAGCAAGCATTCCACCACTATGGTATGACCCCAGACTCTTTTTAATTTAAACTATTTATGTCAAAGAATTCCCCCAAGCTACCCAGACTGCCCTGAACTTGCTTGTGGCCCAGGGAGCCCTGAGACTTCGGTCTTAGTCTCAGAAGTGTCTATAATGTACGATGATGGTATAGGCCAGCAGCCGTAGCTTTAGAAAAAGTGCTTTCCTAGGGCCAGGTATGGTGATGCAAACCTGCAATCCGGATTTCAGAAGGACAAAAGAAGAAAAGTTTGAGGTCAGCCTAAAGTAGGGATGGGGAGGGGATGGGGAAGAAGTTTTCAGGTAAAGTATACATTGTAATCCCTACATGATTCGATCTGTTGTTAATTACCAAAGGAAGAGTTTCAAATTACAGAAATTCAAGCAGAAGTTTTTTTTGTTTTTTTTTTTAACATCTCAGCCACAAGAAAAGTCAACACACTAGTGTTTTCTTTTGTACTCACTTACTGGTTCAAGGCAGATACTGTTAACAATTTATTTTCTGAAGACACAAAGTTCCCAAGCTACTCAAAATCTGGTAGAACTTTATCAGGGAATTAAAAAAAAAAAACTGGGATTACAAATCTTTCTCTTGTCTGTCCTTCCAAATTTGCAACTTTTAACATAATGGAACCAACTGTTTACTCTGAACAATTTTAAATGCAGGTATCACTAAACCTAAGGAAAATATAAATCAATATATTTAACAAAATCATACCAAACTTTAATTTTTCAATGGTTCTTTGTACAACTACCATGGCTTTAAAATGACTTTTAATCTGGGTGTGGCGGCAAATGCCTTTAACCCCACCCAGCATAGGCAAAGACAGGAATCTATGTTCACCATTCTCAAATCACAGTTACTTATGAGACAAGGGCATTAATATTTCACCTTATTAGAGTACAGGTAGATATTTTGAGAAAACAAAAATGATACATTTAGTTTTTATTTAAGGAATGAGAACACAGATCAGGTTTGCAGTTTTCTGATAAGCTAATTTCAAATGAGTTATTATATGTTATGTATGACATTTTGCAAATGCTACTTTTTCAGATCCACCAGAACCTATACTAGACCATACTCCAAGCAGTGACTTTGTCTACTAAGGGAAAATTATTCCCATTTTACAGGAGAGGGAGCAGAAGCATCACAGTGCTTCCCAAGGTCACACTGAGGAAGAGCAGCTTTAATTTCTAACTTTCTCTCAATTGCTCTCCTTGGTAATTGTGCCCCTTAAATATTACAGCTGAGTTAATTCTTGGCCTGTTTCTCATGGCAACATCCTCAAGTATGACTACAGAATATGAACTGCTTGAAATGAGATGCAGTTCTATGTATAAAATTCTGCATCACTACATGAAAATATCTGAAACCAAAGAACTTCAATTATGCTAGTCCTCACCACACCCTCCAAAGTAAGAATTGTCTTTTGTGGAAGTTAAAGTATGTAATTTAGTGTCACAGTGAGTCAGTATATAACAGGATGCCTAAGTCCTGACTCTCACTTCCTGCTTTCATGACACCTTACATCACTTCCTGAAAAAGCTGGAAGGCCTCTAAGATAGTATCAAAGATCTACCAGCTCCTGCCCAGAGCACTCCAATACTTCTGAGAGTCTACCGGCCCAACATCAAAACGACCTACTTTTCCTGTAGTTTCTAACAAATTATTACAACTCTCCTGATCACAGAAGCCTCTAGATCTTACTTTCAAGATTCTTCTCTGGGCTTTAAGATAAAGTTTTGGTTAAAAAAAAAAAAAAATTGTCTTTTTGAGACAGGGTCTGACCCTTGCCGTTTCACCTGGCCTGGGACTCCCTAAGTAGACCAGGCTGGCCTTGAACTCAGTGATTTATCCGTCTCTGCCTCCCAAGTGCTGAGATTAAAGGCATGAGCCACCATGCCCAGCAAAATTTTAAGTCCATGAAAACAGTGCGAGATCTTTTTTTAAAGTCATCAATCTGCTGATGGAGGTAGCAAACGTCCTTCTGCCAAACATTTTCTGAATATTATTTAGGTTTTGGAAAAATATGGATCTTACAACAGAAAACAAGATATTATTTTCAGATACTGTCTTAATATGGTACAAATTTGACCACAGAAAAAGTTTAATTCGAGCTGGGGCTGTAACTCAGGTATAGAGTGCTGGCCTAGCCATCCCCAGCACATTTGAGTGCAAGCCTGTAATCCCACTCCCTCGGAAGGCCAGAAGATCAGAAATTCAAGGTCATTCTCCAGGGCTAGAGTTGGAAGCCAACCCGGTTTACCTGAGATTGTCTCCTGAAACAAAAGGGAGGAGCAAAATTCTCCAGCTACACTCAGCTACACTTAAATGACAGGTACAAATAAAGAATTGACAAGACTTCAAGTCACTAAAGGAGGGGGGGGCGTTGGACAGGGTGGCGCAAGCCTTTGATCCCAGCACTCAGGAGGCAGAGGCAGGTGGATCTCTGTGAGTTTGAGGCCAGCCTGGTCTACATAATGATGAGCAGGCTAACTAGGGCTACAGGGAGACCCTGTCTCAAAGACCAAAAAGAAAAAAAAAGGGGGGGGGGTGGAAGAGAATGCAATGAACGAAAGGACCAAACTGTTTCAAAAGGTGTGTTGCAACCCAACGCTGCCCACCAATGGGGATCACAACTTCTGGGCGTTGGAGTGCGGCCCAAGGAAAAGCCATGAACTTCAGAACTTGGCACGACCCAGTCAGCCAATCCCAACCGTGCACGGTTAGGGCAACCCCACCCCCACCCCAAAATTTTGCACACCTACCCTCTGGTCAACCGAATAATATCCCCTGTCTGTATGAGACCTCCGATCTCATCCCACACGGAAATAGTGATGCTGCCGGTTTTATCGGCTACTTTGCACGATCTCACTTCATGGCCGTCTTTGGTTTTGGTCACGCGTCCTGTGAAAATTTAAAGATCAAAACCCGGAGGTGTGTTAGAGAACAAGCCGGTGCGGGGAGGCTCGCTGACCCTCCTCCAGAACGCTAAGACTCCTTTCCGCAAGTAGGATCCGAGCGCCGGCCGAGCGGCCAGAGCACGTGGGGGCGCGGGCGGGGGGAAGGGGCGGCGCTGGGGCGGTGGGGCAGGCTGCAGACCCCACTTACCTATCTCCAGGACAATAAAGACGACATTTAAGTTTTTCAGTCCGGCCTTAATATCTTTTATAAAAAGAGGAGGGTCGTTGACCCCATGCATACTGAGACGGGTGTGTGGCTAGGCTGCCGAGACCCGCTTCCCACCCTTCGGGGCCAGGGGCACAGCCCTGGGGCGACCTTGGGCGGGGCTGGCGACCAGGGGCAGGAAGCAGTTACTCAGGGGCCGGGGAAACCAGCCCTCGAGGCAGAGAGCCAAAAGAAAGAAAAAAATCTGGAGCAGAAAAAGCAGCACAGAGTTCCAAAAGCAAAAGGACGATGCACTTCGCACACCTAGCCCGCGCTTAGTGGGGCGGCGGGAAGAGCAGCGTGCGGACAGCCGCCTAGGGGAAGTGAAAAAGGCAACAGAGCACAGGCCTGCCCGAGTCCCACTGTCACTCACTCACTCACACTCACACTCACACACACACACACACACACACACACACACACGCGCACACGCACACACGCGCGCGCCCCGTGTGTCCCACGCTCCGGGAGGGGACGAGA